CGTCCGCGCTTTTGACGGGTCACGCAAAATTCCATGCAGAAAATTCAAGCACGCCTGGGGGAGGGACACTTCCCTAAGTTATACACCTGTACTCAAATTGCTTTGTTTTACACAGGTCGCTTTCAGGAAGTGAGGGGAGCCGGATGTCAACGTCTAAAGTGTTTCCATGACTACTATCAACTTGAAGAGGGGGGAAAATGCCATGCATACTTTTGGCCAGAGGAAAAGTCTCATATTTCTATACTGGGATATGAATGCGCATGTCCCAAACCCTGCCATAACGTCCTGTTGGAGAATGTGATTAATGACCTCAACCAGAGGGGAGGGGACATAGGGGTAAAGTTCAGATGCCATTAAGTGGAATTTAGTTTCGGCTCCACAGAAGTCCACGCCAAGATGTTAGTCCTAATAAATGAATGTGTTTTCTTTGAACTTTGTCTGGAGGCTCATAAATTAATTAGGCCAACTCTTGGAAACTTCACAACATTACTTAAGGTGTTATTAAGTAAAGCAGGAATTGTAGCAGGTTCTGACCAGTTCTGGAAAACCAGTAGCAAAAATTTTGAGTTGTTTGTGGAACCAGTAACTACCACCTCTGACTGGCCCTACCCTCACCTATTCTCTGCGTCCCGAGTCTCAGTTGATTGGGAGGAAATGGGGATTTTGCAGTAACCTTCCCGTGGAGTGGGGAGGTAATGAAGATTTTACAGTATCCTTCCCTGGCCATGCTCACCAAACCATGCCCACCAAGCTACACCACGTCCACCAAGCCATGCCCACAGAATCAGTAGTAAAAATGTTTTAATCCCCCCACTGGATTATAGTTTTACCAAATAGATAATTACCTGAACATTTGTGACATCCTCTTTATTGTCTCATCAAAGGTCTTCTGAATTCAGAGGGCTTTTTAAGCATAGCAGCATTCCCAGAAAACACCATTGATGTCTGGATTTGAGGTATTTTATGCAGGGGAGACTTTTGTAGTAATTGATTTTCCTCATAACTGTCCAATCTTTTTTTGACGACCTCATTGATTAAGCCTGCAAAAGTAATTACCTTAAGTTAATGTTTCCCTGAGTAGATAATCTCTTAACTGTAACAGTTTTGACATTGTATTTTGTTTCAACAACATAGACTCAGGATACACATAATTAAGGAAGGCAATAGAACTGAATAAAAAAGGCATAATTTGAAAGCAACAAGGATAGCAGGTTAATGCTGAAATGTATGTTCAGAAAGAAGTACCGGTAGATAGATAGAAACTAAACAAATAAGCTGCTGCTGTATCTTTTGGTTGTTGTGTGTTTTCTGAGCAGCTTTACAATAGAGATATGTAGAATATTGGGCAAGAAACTCCTTGGAGTTTCACATCACCATTTTCAATCTAGAGGTAACATAACATAAGCAGGAAAGAAACCAAAAACTTCACTCCAAACACACTGCCCTCTTGGCACACTTTACAACCAGTTTCACTATGACATGGTTGTGTACTATGCAACATTACCAAAAATTCACATGTAAACTCTCAGCTATTTCAGATGGAAGATTATTAAGTGATATGCCAGGGAGGGAGGGAGGGAGGAGAGAGAGAAAGAGAGAGAGAGAGAGAGAGAGGGAGAGGGAGGGAGAGAGAGAGAAACTACGAAAATTAAATCATGCAGTTTTGCCAAAATGAAATTAACTCAAGGCAGTTACATTGATGATCATATGTGTTTTAAATACTTTTCCTTTTCTGTCTTATTAAATGCATGACAAAAACATTGGATGGGATTGTGGAAGCTATGACCAAGGCTCTTGGTGGTTCACCCAGTTGTGCACTCCTGCATTAAAGCAAGCATTGAGTTCTGGCCATTATACTAGTGTCCTTTCCTCTCATTTTTGAATAATTCAGATGTTCAAAATGTTAATTGCTTGGGCATCACATTGATGCAGCTCTTCTCTGAGCAGCAGGAGAGAATCCTGGATAGCCAGAGCATTTCGGCATACTTACAATCTGTCATTATTCTTCCTAGAAGCTTCTTCTGCAGCCGAAATTCTACACGGCCCATCACATATGGAAGGAATCCTTTCTCAATATCTATGCAAAGTACCAAAGGAAAACAAGTACTATACAGTGCTGTGATTCTTAAATAGGTAGAAAACTCCTGTCCACTAAAGTACAATGACTGGCTCTTTAGAAATTGTAATGAATAAGATTATACTTATCAGGTTTGTATTTTTTGTATATTATCTAGATAATTTTATGTGTGAAGTAAAGTGAGAAAAATGAAATATAACATGATCTTAGATGTACCGTAATTACATGGTGATATATCCATTCTGTTTCATTAACTTTCTTCCCAGATACATAAGAACTTTTCTCAGGTTAGCTAACTACGCTGTGCTATTTCTTTATTTTCTTTTGCATTTTAGATATGTACTCTCTTTTCTTTTCTTACAAATAATTAGAATAATTTAGTGTTTTAAGTAATTTTTAATCTATCCAGAGAACTAAATAGTAGTGGTTTAAAAGTATAATAGAAAGGCTACTTAATAGATATTTTAAAAATAAGTACAAAAATCACTGTGTGCTTTTTTATTTATCAGCATTATCCTTTATTCAGAAAATATTTCCAACTGTAAAATACTAAGGACTCTCACTCTGAAAGAAGGGTTAAGCTTGAAAATAGCACTGATTCACAATATCCAGGAGGAGGACATGGTTTTTTGAAGTATACCATGTGGAACTCAAGAATATTCTTTATGAAACTAACATGGGATTCTGTATGGAACTCTTGAAGAATTCCGTAAGAAACTAATGTTAAAAAAGTCACTTGAAAATAGCTTTTTCTATCACTAGAATTTTGACTCTCAATCAGGGGTTCCTTATTATTATTATCACAACAACAGAATTGTATCACAGCGGCCAGTTGTTTCGCCGGATTTGGCATTGATTACTAGTCGGGCCCCACCCAGAGGGCCTGACTAGTAATCATATTTTCAAAATATATGTGCAGATCCAAGCAGTGCGGCTTTTTGCATTTGACTGATGGTGATTTTGTCAATTTTTAACTGTTTTAAATGTAATTCCAGTGCTTT